AGAGAGAGAGAGAGAGAGAGAGAGAGAGAGAGAGAGAGAGAGAGAGAGAGAGAGAAGAAAATAAAAGAAAACATGCAGAGGAAAAATAATTTTAAATCATTGAATTGGACAAGGAATTCAATTTTCAAGAATGCAATGAAGCTGGGCAAGTATCCAGCTTTTTTTACAAGTAGAAGCTTTCACTTTTATTATTATCATTATTATTATTATTGTCACCATGCATTATCATCGTCATCATTTGCTTCTAGGGAAGAACTGATCAAAACCAAGCTGAATTGAAGCCAACCAATAAATGCTTCACATATAGGCAGTATTCCCCCAAGTAAGCACCAATAATGAAGATAGAGTGAGAAAAAGAGAGAGTTACATGTACCTTCCTTTTAGACCCACACCACAAACAAAAGCTACGTCAACACTGCCTGCAGACATAACACAGCAAAAAGGCACAAGAGGCAATCAGGCAAACATTAGACAGGTGCGTGCCATTATCAGCCCTAAATCTGCCACAAAACCATGTAAATAATATGACGCGGGACATTTATTGTTGTGTTCATTTTCACAGCTTATATATAAACAACAAACAGAGAGGGTTTTATTTCTTGTCCAAATTTGTGACAAATTATGTCAACACTGCAGTGAGAGGGGGGAGGCCGTGTATAACATCACGTGAATTGATGTTGTCTAATTTGCGGATAAAAAGAAAATGTAAGTGCTAACTTACTGTATGTCAAATGTAAAATAATTATTTCAAAATTTGTGACAGTCCAGTAAAAGCTAAAAACAGATCAGTTTTGATATATTTAGTTTTGTTATATATTCAAACACAACATAAGCCCAATTTATACATACATTAAATAGTTTCAAAAGGAAAAAAAAAATCCTGTTGATTTTGTAGAAGGCTCTTGCACTCTGGTGACATAACAGTGGTCTTAAATTCTAGGGAGAGCGAACAGAACTTTTTCCTTTCTTTTTTTTCCATTCTTGCAGACTACAAAGTTAGTGTTACTTATCAAAAGGGCCAAAAGTCCGATCAAAATTCAATACCCCCAGCTTAAAGAAATATCTCACATACAGTTTGTAGATTTCAAATATATTTATCCTCTCCTCCCCCTCTCCCTAAACATTTTCATGAACATAAGTAGAAAAGCCAATACTCATGAGTGCACATGTAAACACGCGGCAACTGTGACATACAACAAGTCACTTCACAACAAGCATACTGTAGTACCCAGACGAGTGGTGAGCCGATAAGCAGCTATCCTGCAGCTAGAACCAGATCATCTAGTGTCTAATCTAGGATCAGAGCAAGACTAGAGATAGAACTAGAACTATAACAAGAGATAGAACCACAGCAAAGGATATATCTGGATTGGGCAAAGATTGGAGCTAATACCAGACCTAGACTCCAGTTAAGATCTGATCTAGTACCAAACCTAACACCAGGGCACGACTATAGACCTATAGACCAGATCTTGGACCAAATTAAGGACTCGGGGCTAAGACAAAAGACTGTAAAAAATAGGTAAGCTGCACATGTCACTTTTTATGAGATACACAACGTTAACACAGCTAGCTCAAATTCTAAGCATTCTTTGCTATGATCAATCTTTAAATTGTAAGCAGTTTTGGAAAAGTGAGATTTTGTGAGATAGGCTCCACAGTTTAGAGCTAAGAAACCACTCATGTTTTACTAGCTATAAAAGTACAGAAAACACTTATATGCTTCAATGTTTAATGTATTAATGAAGAAAAACACTCTGATATGGTACAAGTTGAAATGGGTGGAAATTATCCCAACTATGCACACTTGTTTATGATATGTGATTCAATTCATCATTCAATGCAATTTTACTTGTTTCCAGTTTTGATCACATCAAAAATTACTGACTTTACCATAACATATTTAACAGAATTTGACTCAACTGCAATACAGACAATACCACTGCCAAATAATTTAAAGAGCATACACACTGCTACATCATAATACAGTATAGATTGTCCTTGTGAAAAGTTTACTCTTATTCAGGTAGCTACAATTTCCCAATACATTAATCAAAACATCAAACACTTTGAAGGATGCTGAAACCCACACCTTAGTACGAATAAAAAGCAATAATCAATTATTCATTAAAATAATCAAGTTAGTAATGTTGTGTTCACTCCACCGACAAAAGTCAATATTTCTACAGAAATGTGAGTACTTGATTATGTTACTTATTGTTATCATTTACAGTTAAGATGTATTTATGACATAATACATCAAGTAAACATTGGATTAGTAGAACGATATATAAGATCGAATTTGAAGAGAGAGAGAGAGATCTGGGGAGGGGGGCACTGGCTATCCTTCAGACCAGTTACCAGTGATATCAGCACCAGGGCAGTACGTATTAGCTTCTGCCTTTAATCTTATGCTACATTAACCATTAGGTAAATACTGCCTATTTGACTATATCAGTGTGATTGAGGGCTTTATCATTGCAGGAAACTGGGACACTTCTTGCTCTCTGTGGGTTACAACCACAGAGATGCTTGTTCAAAAAAAAAAAAAAAAAAAAAAAAAAAAAAAAA